TTATATCTCAGTTTTCTCACCTGTAAAATGGTCATGTTGATGGTATTTACCTTCAAATATTACTATAAAGAAATAGCATATATTAAAATACACCCAAATATCTATAATCTGTTAGAACACAGTTGATTCATAGTAATTTTTTGCTGTTATTATCTAAGACTATTTCACTATTCTGTTGACTGGTTTTGTATGGCTTCAGTTAAAAATTTTTAAAAAATTTTTAGATGATTACAAAAGATCAAAAAGAATAGTAATTTTTGTGACATATGGAAATTAATTGAAATTCAAATTCTAGTGTCCATGAAATAAAGTTTTATCAGAATATAGGTGTTATTCCATTTGGCTCATTCATTTATATATTGTCTGTGGCTGATTTCATGTTACAACAGTGGGCTTCAGGAGTTTCAATAAAGGCCACATGGCCAGAAAAACCCAAGTGATAAAAAAACCCAAGTCTGTTTCTTTATAAAATGTTTTTTTCTGACCCCTTCTTAGTGCACAAAACCGCAAATCACCATTTGTATCCAGGTGGTACTTTGCAGGACTGGTGGTAGCATTTGTTGTTTGGCCTAGGTTGGTGGTGGTGGTGGTTATTATTATTATTATTATTATTATTATTAGGCAGCAGCAGCAATACTGGAGATTAACTCTAGGGCCTTGCTCATGTTTGGCAAGGGCTCTACCATTTAGCTACATCCCCAGTCCAGCTCATTTTTTCGTATCCTTGATGATGCAATTCTAATTGAATGAGATGGAATCTCAATGTGGTTTTGATTTGTATTTCTGTGCTGCCATCTGAGGGTGTTTTTTTTTTTTTTTTTTTTTTTTTTTGTACTGCGGATCAAACTCTGGACCTTGTGCTTGCAAGGCAGGTGCTGGAACCACTGAGCTAAATCCCCAGCCCTGCCACCTGAGTTTTTAACAGATGAACAAGCAGATGCAGAAAGGCCATGTAACTTGTGCAAAGTTCCGTGGCTAGTAAAGGGCTTGTTGTCTACAGAAAAGGTTGCTGACAGTCATAATTTTTTGTAATGTGGGAAAAATCTTTGCACTTACTTTATTTTATGCTGTCTTGTGGTTGGTTGTGGGAGAGGAGCATTAGAGGTAGGTAGCTGATGAGGAGCGCGTCTGCCCTTTATCCTCACTGATAGCAATTAGGAAGCCTTCAGTGTGTGGGACACTTCCCTGGCTCAGCTTCCAGGATCCTCTGGAATGGGGGTTCTGTGCCAAGCAGATCCGCTCGTTACTGAAATTGATCGTGATCATCTGTGTGTCCCCAACACTGCAGCCGCCCAGCACCTGATAGTTCAGAGTAGAAAATCAGCTTTGTTTCAGAATACAAATAACCCCCAGCTTATTGCTTACTGATTGTGTGCTGATAAGCTTTCCATATTTCTCCCCTTTTAGAGTTGATGAACTAGGGAAAAGGCACATGCTTATAAAAATTATTAGTTGACGGTTACAGTTATTTAGAAATGGGTAAGGAATCAGGAGGGAAGAAGAAAAGGGGATAATAAAAATCTCTACAGTGGAAACTACAGTACTCTGGAAAAGGAGATCAAAGAGGACAGTAGAAAATAGAAAAATATCTCCTATTCATGGATATTTAGAATCAATATAGTCAAAATGGCCACACTTTCTAAACTGATATACAGATTTAACGCAATCCCAATCAAAAATACCAACAGTATTCATCACAGGACTAGAGAAAACAATCCTAAAATGCATATGCAACTGGAAGAGATCCAAAATAGCAAAAGCAATCCTGGGTAACAAGAACAAAGTGGGAGGCATCACAACACTGGATTTGAAGTTGTGTTATTAAGCTACCGTGATAAAACCAGTATGATATGGGCACAACAGCAGGCATGTGGATCAGTGGAACAAAAACAGGATGCAGAAACAACAACAGCACATTGAGCTACTTGATCTTTGACAGAGGGGCCAAAAACATACACTGGAGGAAAGATAGCTTCTCTAATAAATGGTTCTGGGGAAACTGGCTATCCACATGCAGAATTCTGAATCTAAACCCTTGTCTCTCACCATGCACTAAACTAAAATCAAAATGGATCAAAGATCTAAATGTTAAAACACAGACCCTTAATCTGCTGGAAGATCAAATGAGTAAAACTCTTGAAGATACAGGTGTACTTGAGGACTTTCTCAGCAGAACCCCAGTGACACAAATATTGCCACGAATCAACAAATGGAATCACATCATATTAAAAACTTTTTGCACAGCAAGGGAAACGACTAATAGAGTGAAGAGATAACCTACACAATGAGGAAAAATTTCTTGCCAGCTATTTCTCAAATAGAGGACTAATATCTAGAATATACAGAGAACTAAAAAAAACTAGACACCTCAACTTGAAGATGCCATCAACAGATGAACAACTGAAATTTATAGACATTTCTCAGGAGAAGTACAAATGGCCAATAAATACATGAAAAAATGTTCAACAGTGCTCCCAGCACAGTGATGCTAATTAAAACAACACTGAGATTCCATTTCATTCCAGGGAGAATAGACATCATCAAGAAATGAAATAATAACAAATGTTGGAAAGGCTGTGTGGGAAAAAGGAACCCTTCTACATTGTTAGTGGGAATGTAAACCAGTGCAGCCACTATGGAAATCAGTGTGGCGATTCCTCAAAAAAGTAAAACTAGAAATTCCGTTTGACTTAGCCGTTCCCTTTCTAAGTATCTTCCCAAAAGAGTTAAAGATGTCATATTACAGTGATATATGCACACACATGTTTATAGCAGCACAATTCATAACAGCTACATCTTGGAAGCAGCCTATCTGTCCATCAACAGATGAATGGATACAGAAAAGGTAGTATCTCATTGGAGTACTACTCTGCCATAAAGAAAGATAAACTAGTTATTTGCAGAAAAATGAATGTACCTTGAGACCATAATGTTACAGGAAAGAAATCAGACATACAATCTTAAACACCAAATGGTTTCTCTTATCTGAGAAACCCAAAATATAAATATAGAGCAAATTAAAAGACAGATTGGGCTGGGGATTTAGCTCAGTGGTTCCACTGCCTGCCTCGCAAGCACAAGGTCCCAAGTTTGATCTCTGGTACAAAAAAAAAAAATTAAAAGATAGATAATAGAAAGTAGGGAGATAGATTTTGTCAAAATGGTAAGGAGGTCAGGAGAGGGATGGAAGGGGGAGAGAGGGGAAGGAGAGAGATGGAGAAAAGAATGAAAATGTGTTATATACATGAACCAACTTCCCATAAGGAATGCAATCATTGTCTGATGCAAACATGTACTAATAAAAAAACTGAAAAAAATAAAAGGTATAATGCTAAGTTTTAGCTATCTCAAGCTCAGTTCAATTTTTCTCAGTGTGACTGATATGTATGTATTTTTTAAAGTGAGAAATTGAGATGATACACTTGCTGATCCTAACATGTCTGTATTATTTGCAGTAACTAGGTGTTGATCTCTGGAGATTTCATAAAAGAAGGGGAAAATTTGATGCAAGATAGTACAGTATTTATTACATTGTGCTTTATACATTTTGGGACACTGTCACATAACACTACATTATTTGATCTGTACAATAACTTCTGGTTAGAGGAGGTTAGCTAGCTGAGCCATGTTCAGCAGGCAATTCATGGTCAAACTGGGCTTAAAACATAGGCTCCCTGATTTTCTGAACAATAATCACAATTACTGTTGTGGGAAATATGAAATTTGAAATGTTATATCTCCCAACCTGTTAACTGTATGATACGCTGAGTTCTTCTTTTCTAGAAATTGAAGAATGAATCCTAGGAACAACGGAGGTTAAAAGTAGGAAGATATTTATTGATTGGAAAGCTCCTGAGGGATAGGAGGGGGACCCAAGTGATAAGCCAAGGACCCCACTTTACAGAGGAGCTTTATAGGGTGAAATCCATGTGGTTATATCGAGGGCCACAGCCTTGAACATCCAATAAGGTTACAAGTATAGTCACTCAGGTAATGGTGGTCCAATGGGGAAGTGAGTCACATAGCAAGCATGGATGGAAAGAACAAGGATTCTCATAGGAGGCGGTGGATCCAGAGGTCTCTGGTCATCCCCAGGGTGGTCGATGCCTGTCTATACTTTACTAAGCCCAGTTCTTTGAAGAAATATGTAGGTCTGGTCATCTTGTCTCCATCTTGAGGCCTGGTTTTCAGCCGATGTGCACCTGTGGAGTGTTTCACTTTTGCCCTGGCCCTTTCGAGGACTTAGCCCTATTTTACTGCCTATAGTATTTTTACCTAGCTCATCTATCTATAATATTACCAACAACTCCTCCTATGACAGGAAGACCAGGACTTGCCAGACTTCTAGCAAGGGGAGTGAGATTTTCTGGTATCAGACACTAGAGTCAGTTTGTTAATGGGAATTGATGGTGTTCACCAATTAGGGACAAGACTTTAGGAATTCTGTGAGCTTTCTCAGTCCAAATACTGGCCTGGGACTTGACTTAGACACAGCCCAAAGTGCCTCAATTGTTAAGAAACTGCTGAGCAGTAGAGACTTGTCACTGAGAGCTGAAATTGATGAAATCACCTACTCCTGTGACGGAAATGCTGAAAGATGTCCTGCCCTGAGGGTGAAGTGTGCCCTGATGGTGCGGTATGCCCATGCTCTTAATGGGCCTAGCACTCAGGGGTTGGGCCTTTGTTGATGTTTTTAATATTTTTTATCATTCCTTTCTCATGAGCTTATGCCAAAGTTCAGGCACATGAGCAGCCTAATCACAGCTTTATCTGTTTTCACTCTAAGAAATAGTGCATTTTATATCTTTCAGCTCAATTGGCTTCTTATGAGATTTCAGAATTCTGTTACTTGTTCTTTCTATACAAGGCTAACTGGAATCATTTGCAGATGATCCAGAACTTTTTAATTGAAAAAGTGAAACCACTAATTTATATGCCAAGTACGGAGAGTCCGGGATTTCTGCTGCAGATGTGACTTATGTCTTGCTTTTTTTTCATAGAGTGGGAAGCCACCCATCAATGATATGTTCACTGACCTCCAAGATGGCAGGAAGCTACTAGATCTTCTGGAAGGCCTCACAGGGACATCACTGGTGAGAAGCTATCTCTGTGGATGAGGCTAAGGGTTTGTCTCTGGTCATTGTGATCCCTGAAGACCACTGTGGGTCACTTAAAATGTAAAGGCAGAAATAGGAACATTAAAAAAGTGATTTATCTAAGACTGGGATAGAGCAGGATTTAGGCTTTCTTGAGAGCCCGAATTTCATCACAGATAAAATTAAATGTCTGTTTCTCAGAGACTGCCCAGGTTGGGGATTACAAAAAAGGATGGATTAAGGGCCGGGGACTTAGCTCAGTGGTGCCACACCTGCCTTGCAAGTGCAAGGTCCTGAGTTCCATCCCTGGTACCGAGAAAAAAAAAGGGATGGATTTGTAGAGAAGGCATACTTTTTTTGAATGGTAGTGAGTATAGAGACAACGATTTGTTATTTAACAAATACGTAAAGTACCAATTGCTAGAAACTGTGACATTTGTCTTTACGCAGGTTTTCAGTATTACCTTTGTGCTTGTTTATCAAATCCAACTTTATTACTTTAAGTATGGTTCTGCGTTCACCCAGGGAAATAACTCTGCTAACAGAGAGGATGTGCTTCATGTGTACAGACTTTGGTTCTAGAGGTGGAATTACCGTAAAGGAGCAGAGAGATGCCCTCTTGAAGATGAGTTACTTCTTGCCTACGTATGGGGTGGTTCACTCCACCTTCTACAGGCAGGTGGTGGCCATGCACCTGTTGGAGAGGCTGGTGCTTCTTCCCAATAAGATTCCCTGGCCAGTGAGGTGGAAGGAAGCTGCCTAGATCCCCTGCCACAGGTGGGGAATTCCTACCCTCTAGCTGGGCTCTTCTTGTAATGCCTAAATCTTTCTGCAGCCAGATCAGTTTAAATAAAAGAAGCTTTGTCCTGTTGCATTGATTCCCAAATTTGTATGCATATTGGAATCACCAGGAAATCTTAAAACTTCTACTCACACCATGAAGTCACAGTCTTTGGTGGGGTAGGAGGTAGGACACAACCATTATTATTTTTGAAGCTACCAAGGATGTACCAGTGTGCGGGCAGGTTAGGCAACCAGTACCTTATACAGTTGTCAGTACGGGAATTTGCATCCTGTCATCACTATGTCCGAGGTGGTGAACTGAACTCCTGGCTCTGAGGACTCTGTGTGCTGAGCTATGTTCTGCGTACATTTCAGGATCATCATCTGTCACTCACATGGAAGGATAATAGGTCTTATTTGCTTTGTGTTTTATTTTCCAGACAAAGGAACGTGGTTCCACAAGGGTACATGCTTTAAATAATGTCAACAGAGTGCTGCAGGTTTTACATCAGAACAGTGTAAGTTTGCAAAGTGACTGTGGGGTTCTGTGCTGCCATCAGCACTGTTTGTTGGGGAACCAGCCACCTGCCACCTGCTCTGTGTATTGGTGTCAGCGGATCCCTGTGAGAAGTATGGGACCTTTTTTACGAGCAAAGGAATGCTCATGTGCTTTTCCTGATGGTCTTTCCTGTCTACTGTGTAAATAACAGTTGTGAGATTTACATTTACTTTATTCTCTTAAGTGGGATTTCTCTTACCACTCATTTATATTGCTGTGCAAATGTGCTAAATCAAAAGCAGAATTTTGTCAAGACATTATCCTAACAATTATGTTTTCATTTCCATAGGTGGAATTAGTGAACATAGGAGGAACAGACATTGTAGATGGGAACCACAAACTGACCTTGGGGCTACTTTGGAGCATCATTCTGCACTGGCAGGTGAGGAAATCTCCGATCACTTCTCATAGGAATTGAAACTCCATTGTTTGTGCAGCACTTTCCTAGAGCTGCCATGACAAAATACCACAGTCTCCTGGATTTGAACAACAGGAGTTAACTGTCTCACAGCTCTGGAGGCTGGAAGTCCCAGGTCAAGGTGTCAGCCAGGGTGGATTCCTTTGGAGGACCAGGGGGAGGGCCTGCTCCATGCACCGCAGCTCTGTGGCTTGCTGGCCATCCTTGGTGATAATTGTGCAGTACAGCGCCAGTCCTCACCTGATGTTCTCCTTGCTGTGTGTCTGTGACCTGCTGTCCCCTTTTCGTAAGGACAACAGGGTAACCTCATTCTCCTTACATCTGCGGCGCACTATTTCCAAATCAGGTTCCATTCTGTGAGATACTGGGCAGTAGGACTTCAATGCATGGATTTTGGGGGAGGAAGAGGCTGACAACTTGCTCTATTTTCTTGGCATAGGGGAACAAAATATGTCTTTTAAAATATTGAATTTAAAAAATTGACATCATTTCAGACTTACAGAAAAGTTTCAAGAATAACTAGTTCAAAGAATTCCCATCCATTCTGCATTCAGATTCCCGAAATGTTAACAGTTGCCTATATTTCTGGTGCTCATTCTGTCTTTTTCTGCCTAAATATGTCCATGTGGATTTTTTTTTTTTGGTACCAGGGCTCAAACTCGGGACCTTGCGCCTGCAAGGCAGGCAGGGGAACCACTGATCTAAATCCCCAGCCCCTGTCCATGTGTATTTTCTAAAAACAGCATTCTTCTAAAACCTAGGAACTCCTTACATTGCCATGATATAATATTAATATAAATGTATGCTAATATTTATAATTATCAATTATTATATAAAATAATGTTATATACTAAAGCAATATATAATTATTAAAATCAAGAAAATATCATTATTAGAATATCATTGAAAGAATAGTTATCTAATTACATAGCTCATGGAGTTTTTTTTAAATTGTCCTAATAATACCCCTTATAAAAGCAAAAAAAAAAATCCAAGGTCATGCGTTACATTCTTCACATCTCTTTAATCTAGAACAATTTCTGAGTCCTTTATATTTCATAATACTGATTTTTCGAAGAGCACTGGGAGTTGTTTTGTAGAATACCCCTCCATGGGGCTTGACTCATGTTCCCTTGTTTTTAGATTCAGGTTGTTTTGGCAGAGGTGCCGCAAACTGATGTTGAGTTTTTCTCATTGCCCCAGGGTAGAGCCCTGCAGGGCCCAAGATGGCTTTTCCAGCAGTGTTTGGAAAGTGATGGTGTTTGCTGAGTTTCTCCACTGTGCCCTCACTACATTTTGTTATTAAGTAGTGTTTTGTGGGAATGCACTTTGAGACCGTGTAAATATTCAGCTATTTATTCACCTTTTATACATTAGTTTTAGCAGCCATTCATAATTCTTACCTGGATCAGTTATGATTTCGATGCTTGGCAAAGAGTGAATGTCTAGTTTCGCTATTCCTTTCACATTTACTCATTGGCTTTCTTTCTTTCGTCACCTATCTATCATCTATCCAACCATTCATTTATGTACCGGTGGATGCATCATGAAGTTTTGCATAGCATTATAATGTCTTACTAGAACTGTTCATTTTGATGTTGAAGTGGTTCTAGATTTGGCCCATGTGAGCCTCTTAAGTTGGCATCTGGGTCCTTTTGATAGGTCTACACCATTCTTTGTGACCTTCCTTCAAACATTTTAGAATACTAATATAAAATGTTCATTCTAGAGTGTCATCATTATTGCTAATAGAGAAGATACTTCATTTGATTTTGTAGTTACTAAAAAGTTCTTCCTTTCTCATTTTTGTAGAAAAGAAAATTAGGTTTTCTTGATGTAAGTGGCTTTGTAAGTGAAAATAATAAAATATGCTTTTTTTTAGTGTGGGTATGGAGTTCCAAGTGAGGGGTACTCTACTACTGAGCGTCCTCAGCCCCCTTTTAAAATTCATTTTCTAGCCACTGATATAGCTCAGTGGCGCCACGTCTGCCTCTTAAGTGCAAGGTCCTGAGTTTGATCCCCAGTGCCAAAATTTTTTTTAAAAAAATTCTTTTTTAAAATTTTGAGACAGGGTCTTGCTAAGTTGCCCAGGCAGGGTTTGAACTTGTAATCCTCCTACCTCAGTTTCTCAAAGTGCTGAGATTACATGACTTTTATATGACTGTGAAAGTCATGTTCATTGTAATCATACATAGTACACATATTGTTTAAGATATGGGAAACACACACACACAAAAAGATACAGGAAACACATTCGTGTAAAAAAGTACAATAAAAATCAGCTCCATATCTGAGTATCCACAAGTAAACACTTAAAATGTATCTTTCCAATGTTTATAGAAAACACTGGAAGTACAATAAATGTGTATTCTCCCATCTACAGTGGTTAATGGGTGTAACCCAAGCGACTGTTAGGTTCCAGGCTGTGCTACAGGCGGTGCCTCTGTCTTCACAGGTGAAGGACGTCATGAAGGACGTCATGTCCGACCTGCAGCAGACCAACAGCGAGAAGATCCTGCTGAGCTGGGTGCGGCAGACCACGCGGCCCTACAGCCTGGTCAATGTCATCAACTTCACCACCAGCTGGGCCGACGGACTGGCCTTCAATGCCGTGCTCCACCGGCACAAGTGAGGCGGTGCTGGCCTTAGGAGAGGGTCTCGGAGACGTGCATCTCCTCACTGCCTCTTTTCTGCTCTCCCTCCCCAAATCTCCTTTCCCAAGCTCTCCTTTCTGCGCATGTTCTCTCGAAACTTTAAGAGAGGAAACTCCCGGCCGGGATTTAGCTCAGTGGTTCTGGCACCTGCCGCGCAAGTGCAAGGTCCCGAGTTCGATCCCTGGTACCCCCCCCCCCAAACAAAAACAAAACCAAGAGAGGAAACTCCAGAGTGGAAAACTACCCATGAGTGTTCATTGCTTTAGGATTTAAATGCTACAATGTAGAGCCTATGATTTCGTTAAAAATAACTCACATAGTTCAATCCCACTCATTCAACATTAGCAATATATACGGAGAATTGTGTTAGCTCTTGTTCTTGCAGCAAAAGACTACATAGTCCAATCTAATTAAAAATAGCCACACAAATTTTCTTATGAACTTTGGTAAACAGATTCTAATTTATACATAAAGACCAAAGGCCCAAGAATATACAGTGCAGTCCTGAAGAAGAACCAGGCTGAAGTATTTTGCAAAAGGAAACTAGAACTCTGAGGCTATATTAAGAGTATGTAGTACTATAAATAAATACAGTAACATAATAATTGGCTGGACCATATAACATTGCCAGTATGTGATTATTTTTGTTGTATAAGAAGAGTAGTTTCATGTGGTTCATCCTAATAGAATAAAGATTCTGAAATAGCCTCATCATGGAGAATAATGTAGTTTAAAAAAAACTGTGCTGATATTGCAGATTAATAGACTGTATAGAGCAGCTGGTTATCCATATGTAAATAAGGGCACTGGATTGTTAACTCACCATACCCAAAAAGTGATTTCTGCATGGTTCAAGGATTTAAATGCCAGTGGCAAAATTTGTTATGTATTATTGATGTTTTAAATTACTAATTTTCTCAAGTTTCACTTCCTGTATGTTCTTGGCTAGTATACAAAAGTGCTCTAGACTTTTCTCTGTTTTACATCTAAATTCTGTGCATCATGGAAGATTTTTTTCCCCCTTTCCTCCCTCCCTCCATTCCTTCTTTCTTCCTTCCCCCATTCTTTCTCCACCCCCTCCTCTTTTTGGTTTAACTTTGTGCTTTGTTCTGTAAGACGGGTTTGATTTGAATTAGTGATAGTGAGCAGAATGTTTTGTTCTTAAAAACAAACGCAATGTTTTTAATGTTTTACCATAAGAATGATATTTCCTGTAGGTTTTTAAATATACTTTTTAATGAAGTTGAAAACCTTACTTCCATTTTCCTTTAACAGTTTAAGGAGGGTTTGCCCTCAGTTCCCAAGTGGTTAAGAGATTTTATCAAGAAACTGTTGAATTTAATCAAAATATTTTCCATCTGCTAACTGATTTAAGAAATATATGTGCTAGACACCAGGTATACAGGAGAGAACAAAATAGGCAAAAGTCCCAGTCTTGTTGGAACTGTGTTCCAAAAGAGGGAGACAGATGATGATTTTAAAAACTGAAAATATAAATAGTAAAGTATATAGAAATGGTAAGCATACTGAAGACACAAATCCATGAGGAAGGAAGTAGGAGGCACCTGGCTTTTGGCAGAGCAGGGGCTGCTGTGAGCAGAATGGGGGAATAATGAGGGATGAAGTCAAGGAGAAACAGTGCTGTTTTGGTTCAAGAACTTAATTATTTGATGATTCTGGTCACAGACCGAGTTGGATGAGAATGGAATCAGATTCATTGGTTAGGTTCAGTGTTGACCTTATGGGGAAATTTGATTCAGTTCTGTCCAATTTGGTTTGCCACCAGAATCATAGAAAGATTGAGGTACCACTGAACTAGGAGAAAGGAGGTGGGGAAGTGGTTCTAATACTATAAGAACTGACAGTGCAAAGACAACAGACAACTGTTGCGTTATTAAAGCAACAATGATGTCTAAATTGTAGGATTAAAAGCAAGATAAACAGTAGTAGTGTGGAAGGAGACAATTGTAGAGAAAACTCAAGGCTTTTATTTTGGGAATATCCCATGGAAAAATTAGAGCTGGATATTCTATTCGGTTCACTTAGTTGGAGAATTTTGTCCATTAATATTGATTGTGATAATTGATATATTTAGATTTATTTCTACCTGTTAGTTTTGTGCTTCTTCTTTTACATTTTAAAAATTGTTTTTCTTTCTTGTCTTCTTTTGTATTGATGGGTTTCCCCAATCCCCTTTTTCATTCTACTTGGCAAATACTGTATACTTGAGTCTTTTAGTGGTTACCCCTGAAATCTTAATAATAACATTTAATGCAAGAACCTTAGAATGTGTTACCTGTTATTTTCATAGTTGTAATTTATCTTCAAATGCTATATAATATTTGACAAAACCTTAGGATATAAGAGATTTAACTTTTTAAGAAAGTTGAGAATTAAAAAAAAGTCTCAAACGGAAGCGTTTTAGATTATAACAATGCCTACTTTGTTTCCACAATATTCTGTCTTCATTTGATTTTATTTCTGTGGTGATTTCAGACCTGATCTCTTCAGCTGGGATAGAGTTGTCAAAATGTCCCCAATTGAGAGACTTGAGCATGCCTTCAACAAAGCTCAGACTTATTTGGGAATTGAAAAGCTGTTAGATCCTGAAGGTATTGTTCATTATTTATTTTCAACCTTAATTTTGCAGTACAGTTTTGAACTTTTGAAAAATGATATTTTGTTCTTTTTTAGAATGAATTATGAGAATTGAGGACCCTTTTGTAAAGTACAGATATAAACCATTTTATCACAGACACATTAGTAATACGTTTTGTTTTGGGTTTCTTTTTTTTTTGGTACCAGGGATTGAACTCAGGTCCTTGCGCTTGCGTAGCAGGCGGCGAAACCACTGAGCTAAATCCCCGGCCCCATTAGTAGTACTTTTGTACCAACAATTTTGAATATCCTTTAGGCATAAATTTAATATTTCATTGATAATAATTAATCTATATCAAGGAAGATTAAAAATTTTAGAAAAATTATTGTCCAAAAATCAGTATTTGTTTTATTTTATAAAAATGCATTGTATGCCTATGATGTGAAGACTTTACAGAGGTCATAGGATTGAATTCCAGACTTATTTTCATAGTACGGATGAAGTCTTGTATCATTCTTTTCAGTGGTAAGTTGGCAGCTTGCTTTTGAGCATTCTGAGGAAGCCCCTAGGGAAGATTTTAAGAAATGGGAGACTGAATGAAAATGAGTAGTGCTCTTGGTGCTTGCCTCATATATCATGATATGAAACAGCAAGGTACTGAGACATGGTGTGGCAAAGATTGTGCATTAAGTATTATTTACGAGTGTGAGGAGAGTCATTTTATACCTAATATTGAGCAATTCACATATTTTGGACATCTCATTTAAGCTGGCTCTCACTTTCTTTCACTTTCAGATGTTGCTGTTCAGCTCCCTGACAAGAAATCCATTATTATGTATTTAACATCTTTGTTTGAGGTGCTACCTCAGCAAGTCACGATAGATGCCATCCGAGAGGTAGAGACGCTCCCCCGGAAATATAAGAAAGAATGTGAAGAGGACGAAATTAATATACAGGTACTGGCACATTTTTATTAACATGTTTGACTTGGCACCTTTGGTTGCTCATGGATACCAGTCACCACCCACTTTCAGAGGGTTTTCTAAGTTCAGTTTTCATTTAGCACTCTGTCACATGCATCCAATAGAAAAAGTAACTCAGCTGACTTTATTAAGAAGGAAAGTATTATTTCACACAGTGAGGCTGGAGATGGGCTGTGTGGGTGGTGACAGAGAGGCTGCAGGACGCGCTTGAGAACCTAGGGTCCCCCACTGTGTGGTCACCATCTTTTCCCCAGTGGTCACCGACAATACTGAAGGTGGCTTTGTCCATGTCAGCCTCTTTTTTGGGGGGAGGGGCCCATTAATAAAGAATTGTTCCTGTTATATTCTCCCAAGGGCTATCAACATATAAAGTTTATTTCCTTTTTTATTTATGAGCAATCGGTGATAAACTACTTGTCAAGTGTTTTTTTTTTTTTTTTTTTTTTTTGGTACCGGGGATTGCACTCGGGACCTTGTGCTTGCGCAGCAGACTCCAGAACCACTGAGCTAAATCCCTGGCCCTCAAGTTTTTTTTGAATGAAAGGACTTATAAAGATTTTATTCATCAGAATATAAATGATTTTTTTCCTAGGAGATGTAAGTAAAATAATTATTTTTTTCCTTCATTTTCCTACCTTGAATCAATTCATATTTATCTCTTTCTGGTTGAGTCTAATCAGTCTTTGTAATTCATTAAATGAGAGGCTTTTAAGAGTTGGATCAGGTCTTGGAAGTCACTTAGTCCAACATTTTAGCAACCCAGTAACCAAAAGATACATATGGATTTCAAAATTATAAGAAATACATTTTGTAGATTCAGACAGCATGGGCTCTGGAGTTTAAATTTCATCCTATCGCTACTTGTTTGGAATCAGCTACTTAACTTTTGAGCCCTTGTGGTTAAAACTACCTACTTAATGAACTGCTACAATTAATAAATACTCAGTAAGCAACAGCTATCATCATTATAATTTTCCTCTCAATTTGTTTTGCCATTCTCATTCAACAAATTCTTCTTTTAAAAAAATGTTCCTTAAGACTAGATGTGATGGTGCATGCCTCTCACCTCAGTACTCTGGGAGACTGAGGCAGAGGGTTGAAAGTTCGAGCCCAGCTGAGGCAATTTAGTGACTTAGTGGGATGCTGTCTCAAAATAAAAGATAAAAGAAGGCCTGGGGATGTAATTTAATGTGAAGGCTGTGGGTTTAATCCCCAGTACCAGTCCCCCACCAAAGTTACTTAATTCCCATGTTAGAACAGTCATGCCAGTCTGGAAGTGCATAGCATCTCACCCTGAGATTCCAAGAACTTACTAGATTTTCTTCAGATAGTATGTACCAATCCTTATTTTTTTCCTTTTCAAAAAATGATATGATCTGCCACCTGCCTTGTGAGCTCAAGGTCCCAAGTTCAATCCCTGGTACCAAAAAAAAACACAACCCCCAAACTGATATGATTTTTAGAAGAAGACAGAAGCTTATTGAAAAACAAAAAAGAGAAATAGGGCTGGACTGTGAATCTATGGCTCTTTTTTAGCTGTTTTCAAAATGAAATGATGTCGAGGAAACCTTAACTTCCTATAATTGACTACGTTTGCTTCTGCTAATGCAGTTATTGTTCTGCAGTATGCATCTTTTTAAGGGGCTCCTATAATCTGGGTTTGCCATTTGCTTTGTAGAATTCCTTGGATTTGTAGAATTATTGGATTAGGATTCTTTTTGTTAGAAAGGCAGGAAATTTTAACTCTCACAATTAAGGCTGTTCTCTCAATAAGGAAGGAGACTTCATTTGCCTTTTGAGGGTGTAGATAGAAGAATGACTTCTCATTTACTGATTTCTTAAGAGCAAATTTTTCAGCACTAGCCTCTTCATTTGCATGCTTTTGTTAGTGACTTGGAAGTTGAATTTGCAGAAATGAAATGAGATTAAGTTTTAACCACCTACTCTTTGATGTAGCTTCCCATCCACTCATCTCCAGTGAAAGCTACTGGCCAGCCTTGCTTTCTAATTCTCTCCTTTCTGCAAACGGACATTAGGTACTTGGTAAATAATTTCTGCATTTCTCTCTTGATATCTGCCAGTTGGAAGTCTCTTCCAGCATTTTTTTGGTACTGGGTATCGAACTTAGGTCCTCGTGCTTGCGCAGCGACAGGTGGTGAAACCACTGAGCTAAATCCCCGGCCCCTCTTCCAGCATTTTAATCAGTACCTCTGAACGTTTGCATGTTGATTATAGCTTTCATACCTCATCTCAAGGTGCTGGGGCCTATGCAAGTGAACCTGGCTGGGCACTGACCTGTCTAGTTCCTCTATATCCTTGTTACAGTGTAGAGGTTGGTCCTAAGAGTTCTTCAGAGTTCCTTTAGCTCTGCAGTTTCAGGATTTTAGGTCTAGAAATTAACTCCGTTTCTTTTTTCTGTCTTAGTACCATCTGTCCCATAATTGTCCCTTTCCAACTCTGTTCATTGATTCATTTTTTTAACTCCTGTATTTCATTTTCTGGATTCATTTGATTCTTGCACCAAAATGCTTGTGTGTTTTCTTTCTTTTCCAGCCTTTATATTAATTCAAGGACTTTTCTTCACTTGTAGTTTGCAAGACACAGCTGGTCTTTGCATTGCATAGTGCCCCCCAGCCCCAATGCTTGAACATGCATATTTCTCTCTGCAAAATGCTTCTCCACCAACTCTTGCATTCCAAGGTTTACATTTTCCTCTGTTAAAGTGGAATCTTTCAGAGAAGTCTTCTTTTATTAATCTGTCAGAATCCAGTCTCCGCCACCCCCCACCCCCTGCCCAGTCTCTGTTTCTTGCTATTGCAGTCTTTTTGTAAGTTAGTTTAAGAATTTTAAATTATGTCGTTAGAGCACTGAGAAAGCAGTGAAAGACTTTAGGCCAGGGAAGCCCTGTGATGCAATCACGTTTTCAAAAAGATTTTTCTGGCTGCTGTCTGAGAAATGAGTTGTGGAGCTAGGAGTCTGGGTGCCAAATATTAGCAAACTGTTGTAGTCCAGAAGAGAGACAGGGTGGTTTGGGGATGGAAAGGTCTAGACGGATTAAAACTACATATTAAATGTGGGCAGTGAGAAAAAGAAATTAAGGTTGGCTCCCTACTTTTTAGCTGGAGAACTTAGCTTAGGTTATAGAGATGGAAGAAAAACAAGTTTTAGAAAAAAGGAAAGGTTCAATGGTTGATATGCCTGTGAGACATTGGAGTGAAGACCTTGGGTAGTTGGATATCGGAGTTTGGAGTTCAGAAGAGAATTTGAGACCAAAACTAAAATGGTAAAATGTCAGAGGCTGGAGATGGTTGTTTAAATTAGATGAGATTATTCAGGCAAAATATATTGAGAGAAGAGAAGAAAAAAGACTTAATTTTGAAGATGTTCTTTACTTATGGTTGGCAGCTGCTGTTGGACTGGAAGAGAACCACTGTGTTTACTAACTTAGGGGTACATCACTTTGGAAGGTGGGAGTAGTTAGCCACGTGGGAAGATCCTGAGGGTTCAAGTGAGAAGCATGGGGTGATCAGTTCTTTGGGTTTGTTTGGAACATTCTTCATATGTGTTGTTGTAGCTCTGTTACTATCAAAAATCTTCTAGTTGGTTGGTTAATTATATGGTTACCCTAAAAATGACTCTAGCAAAGTGGATTTGTCAATTTTCCAGTTGAGTTTTGGGGAAATTTCAAGTCAGAGTGAAAGGGAGTGTTAAGAAAGAGTTGCTATTAAATACATGACTGCGACTTTTATTGTTCTGTTCATTTATGTACATGTGAGAGTTTCTACATAAAAATTGTAGATGAGAGTTGATAATGGGAGATAATCTGTAGGCGAGTCCTAAAGGAGTTTTGCTCTAAACAGAATCAAAAGACCAGGAGAGACAGTAGGCTTGGTTATAAGATATTAAAGTACATAAAGAAAACTCCATTACTTTGGAAGAGCTTGAGATAAATTAATTCCATGACAGAGAGAGAGAGAGAGAGAGAGAGAGAGAGAGAGAGAGAATCAGCACATTAACTAAGGGCCATTGCCTCAAAAACTAGGGCTGAATGTGTGGCTGTTTTTCATTGTCCAAGATGGACTGTTAAAATACAATTCAATAAAAGCATTTTAAATCAGCAGGGGTGTGAGAGCTGAATTCTAATTTCTCTCTCTTTTTTTTTGTTTGGTAAAATACACCCATTGTTTGAGGTTCACCATGTTTCAGCTCCTCTGTGAAACTTTCCTAACTGCTTTAGCCCTTGGTGAACTCAAATAGCAACTCTGGATGGAACTGTGGCATTTATAACTTTGTACATAGCCATTTATTTTTGCTTAGAAGTGATTCATGTGGGTTATTTCTTTCTCCTCAACTATATTAGAATTGCCATGAGCCAGGACTCATGAGTGCATATTGCTTTTGTGCCCTTTCCTGTCCTAGAGTAGTAAATAAATGCTTTCCGGCTAACTCACAGCTTTGCTCTCCTCAGTCCTGAGAGTTGGGTTGATGTCCGAGACACCGGGGTGCCTGCCCCGCCTTCTCTCCCGTGTGTCTTTGCTGAGTGCCTTGTGTCTTTGTGACACTCGTGGGATTTTCTTGGTTTTGTGTTCAGAGGACAGCAGCGGCGGAGGAGCGGGAGAGTCCCGGAGCGGGCACCCCCAGCACTGTCGCCGAGGTCGACATGGATCTGGACAGCTACCAGGTGGCGCTGGAGGAGGTGCTGACCTGGTTGCTGTCTGCGGAGGACACTTTCCAGGAACAGGATGACATTTCTGACGATGTCGAAGAGGTCAAAGAGCAGTTTGCCACCCATGAAGTAAGTGCCTTTGTTGTGGGCGCCTCTATCTGCTGCGGGGCCGCCCCAGTGGTTGTTTTCTGAATTGTGTTCCACCAAAAGGTCGCAGCATATTTTAGGACTTGTGATATTTAAATAGGGCTTTGTTAGAAAACTGGGGTGGGTGATTAACCATACATCAGAATTAGATTTCGGATTTTAGTCTTCTGGTAACTTGTATATTTTGTAGAGCTACACGAACAAAACATAAATGCATAGTCCTGTCCTGCTCGTTTCTGGAGTATATTGCTATAGTTAAAAACAGAATGACTAATCAATAGGCCAGATCTTTAGGTTTTGAGTGTTTCTCAGGAAGTGATTACTTTTATTTGTTGAGTGACTAAGCAAATGTCATACCCGGTGTTCCTGTGCACTTTTATGCAGCAGCAGTTTCTTTCTGTTTTGAGGACATGTTATATTGCAGCGTAGTGATTTTGGCTATATGGTTTCTTCCTGGTTAAGTACTTTTATTGTGTATGGATGTAGAGGTGTGTGAACTGACAGGTTCTATTTTGGATCGAAAAGAATAGAAATAGTAATAGTCCTTAAATACCTCCTTTTGAGTGAATGTGGTGTTTTTTATTATATTTACTCTTAATTCCACATTCACTAGCTCCTAGCAGTTTAATCAGCATTTGCTTTAAAACAGGTATTAAGAGACATCACGTTATATTCTTCTTGACCTGTTTTTCTTTTGATTTATGCCAGGTGCTTGTTTCCTATTTCCAGAGTTTAAAACATCACTCCAGCATCTGCCTTATCTGCACTCTACTAGGCTACTTTTCTTTGCTGCGTTGATATTTGGATTATGCCGTAGCAATTTATAGATTTTTTTTTTGTCCCTGATGCTGTACCATTGCAGGCTTTCATGATGGAGCTGACTGCACATCAGAGCAGTGTGGGGAGTGTCCTGCAGGCGGGCAACCAGCTGATAACACAGGGTGCTCTGTCGGATGAAGAGGAGTTTGAGGTTCAGGAACAGATGACCCTACTGAACGCTAGATGGGAGGCTCTGAGGGTGGAGAGCATGGAGCGGCAGTCCCGGTGAGTGAGCACCAGGAAAGCCAGTGTATTCCACAGACCACATTGCATGGTTGAGCTCAAGCAGAAATCTGCATGGCTATGAAAAACAAGATCAGTACAGAAGTAGCCTTGGAACGTTCTCACTTTTCTTTTTTTTCTTTTTTTGGTACTGGGGATCGAACTTGGGACCTTGCACTTGTGAGATAGGCAGCGGAACCACTGAGCTAAATCCCCAGCCCCATGTTCTCACTTTTCTGTGTGTAAAGTCGACACAATTTTGCATTATCTCCATTGATATTTTAGCCACGTCCAAAGGTAAAAGTTGAAATATGGAAATTCCTGAAAAGGGAAAAGATGTTCCATGTGACCAATTATTTATTTGCTGCAGTATTAAAGTTGCAAACCATTAACTGGATATGATGACAGGACTATTTGATATGGACCTCCTCTTCTGTTTTGTAGTATTTTTTTTAAAAGCAAACTTTTCCCATGTTCCATTTTTTTTGGTGTGTATTATATATTGCATTCCATTGCTATTTCTACCTATAATAAGCTAGAATTCTTTTTTTTTTGGTATGGGGATTGAACTCAGGTCATTGCGCTTGTGAGGCAAGCAGCGGAACCACTGAGCTAAATCCCCATCCCTAATAAGCTGGAATTCTTAATCGAAGAAACAATGATTTTAATATGATCCAAAGGTGCTATTATTTGTATTCTTTGACTGCATTTAAAAGACTCCATTTAGGAAGAAAATTAACCCTGGGTTTCTATATTTAAAGACTAAATGCTATTATAGGTGGGTAGACTCAGATTTGTTCCCTTGCCCCATTTCCCTGGTACCCGGAGTGGGGGAAAGAACTGGTGGCAGCGATGCTGTGTCCCCTGGCCAGGTTGCATGACATCCTGATGGAACTGCAGAAGAAGCAGCTGCAGCAGCTGTCGGCCTGGCTGACCCTCACAGAAGAGCGCATTCAGAAGATGGAAACCTGTCCCCTGGATGACAACTTAGAATCCCTGCAAAAACTCCTCGAAGAACATAAAGTAATTCTGCCTCCTATTTCTTTCCTACCTTATCAAATATGAAAGAGCAGCACTTAGCATTCTCAGGGGCTAATGGCTTCTCTTGTAAGTGTGGGATTGGGATACATCTTCCATGTCATCTTTTATTTAACTTCCAGGGTGGAGCTCAGGGGCCTATCTATGCCTTTTTCAAGCCAGGGATGAAAATGCAGGTGCAACTTTGCACGGATTTGCACATGGTTTTCCTATGAAAGCACAAAGCTTTCATAAGATTCCAGAAGGGTCTTTTTGGACCCTTAGGTGGTTAAGAACCTTAAGGTAGTGGCATTAATGCAAGGTGTGGGTAAGGAGACAGATGGTTTAAGGAAAACGGTTGTCTCTTCTTTGATCAGATACCAGGTGAGGAACAAACTTGGTGGACAGTTTAATTTGGTCACAAGTTTACTAGAGAAATTTTCGTAGTCACAAAAAGAAAAAGGAGAGCATAATATTCTCTCTGTAAATTGAAGAATTGTATTGATCAAGGAAACATCTACAAATCTGATACTAAAGCTTTAGGGATACATTGAGCACTACTTAGGAAGCCTTTGATAACACTTTTGATAGTGTTTAAACAAATTACCTCTATACATCTGTCTAATGACTAGTTTTTCCCATGGAAGAGGGGAGAATGGACTGCATCCATGTGTCCCTAATTGCTTCCTGGTAGCTAAGCAGAATGGCTTCTGAGTATCGTATAGCATTCTGCTTCTCTCTTTATGCCATACTCCGCTAGATAAAATGACCCCTGACTCTGTCTATGTAAGCTCTGCACGTACTGACTTACCAGTTCTACATTTTGGTCTTAATTCCTAGGATAGCCATTCAACTCTTTTATCCTTTTTTTCTTTTAGCCAGAACTTAGAATAAAAGTGATGATATCCTATTTGCAATCTGCTATGACATTGCATTTTCAGACTGCTTTGGTTTATAATGAAATATAAATATGTACACGAGGCGTGTTTCATTAGTAGAACACTTAGGGTAATGATTGGAAATTTCAATATGATGCCTCATTATGTGTCCTTAACGACTATTGACAACTGAATGGATTTTAAATAGGTAAATGTGAAGGAGTAGAAATAATAGCTTCTCTTAATTCTTTTTCTAGAGTTTGCAAAATGATCTTGAGGCTGAGCAGATGAAGGTAAATTCCTTAACTCACATGGTGGTAATTGTGGATGAGAACAGTGGCGAGAGTGCTACAGCTCTTCTGGAAGATCAGCTACAGGTAAGGACCCTGTGCAGTAATAGGACAGTCCTGAAGCACCTGTGGCCCAAGACCCAATTACCTGGTGTTCCTGTGCTTTTATGTCTTGTCTCATTGTTTATTTGGAAGGATAGAAAATCCTATTCGGTTAGCTTTTCATCACTGTACAGAATACTCAAGGCAGACTTCTTTTGTTTTTACTTTTATTTTTGTCCATATTTGCAGTTCACAATGTTTACAGTCCTTGTGTGGAGTTGGCCCGTGTACATAACACATCTTAACTCCTTTTTTATACTCTTCCTCTCCCTTCTCCCTCCTCCATTTCTTGATTCCCTTCTCATTTGAGAAAGATCTATCGTCCTACTTCTTAACTATCTATCTTTTAATTTGAGCTTTATTTATAACTTGGGATTCTCTTATAAGAGAAACCATGCGATAGCTAAGCTTATGCATCTCATTCATTTCATTTAACATTATGCTCTGGAGGTGCATCCATTTTCCTACAAATGACTCAAGCTTATCTTTCTTTATGACTTCTTCATAAGGAAAAGGGGTTTACTTAGCTAACCAGTTTGGAACCCACAAGTCCAACCATCATGGCGCAAGCTTTTGTGCGGGTCCTGGTTGCCTGTAGCCCACCATGGGGGGAGCATGATATCTGTCTGTGTGGTCTCTCCTCTCCTTACAAGGCCAGCATTCAGTCATGGCGACTTCACCCTAATGATCTAATCTAAGGTAGTCACTTGCCAAGGTTCCACCTGTAAACACTTTATCTATTAAGTTTCTGTTCTCTAAACACCACTAATACAAGGCTTTGAGGATCAGACTTGTGCATGGATTTTGGAGGGATGACACATAACACTCACCTTTGTTTTTTCCCGGTTGGGGTTCCGACTGGGGGCATGTGGGAGATAGGAGGACCCAGGAATTGATTCCTTCACTTCAGCCCTTGGGAAGAATGGGCAGCCCGTTACCCAGCTCCCTTGGGCATAAGATTAACATGATTTGCAAGCAGGGAACTGGTTACAACAAACTGGCCAGAGACTTTCTTGCTTTGAATCGGTTGAAGAATTTGTGAAAATGTAGATTCCAGCTCTATGCAGACCTGAATCTGTGTGTGAGGAGGGGGAGGTTGGGATGAGCAGTGAATGTGTGTAGTGTAAATAAAAGTGTCTATGGATACCAGACTTTGAGAGTTTCTGCTGGTTAGCATTTAATATCTCTGTTTCTTTGATAGATCCATATGTGAATCTCAATGCTTATTTTGATAAATTGCTTCTTTTTGCACAAAGCCATAGTGTATCTTTACAAGTCTTTATAAAAGAGATTTATTGGTGTTTCATTTGAATGATACTTGGATTGCCTGTTTATGATTTCTAATAACTTTCAGCCTCTTAAACTCATCATGTGAAGTCCCTGCTCAATTTATTTAAAGTTGGCCAGTGGTTCTGAGAGTTCAGTGCAGTAGTATTTACTTACTGTAGTACCTGAGAGGTAGGTGTTCCTGCTTTGGCGGTTGACAGTGGTGAAACTGAAAGTGAGGGAGATTAAGTGATAGTCTGAGAGTTACACAGACAGTGAGTGTTCATGCTGCGACTCCAAGCTCTCTACTCTTTGCACTGTAAACAGCTCAGGCCGGTATTAAACAGTCAGGTAGCATAATGTGAACGACAGAATTCTTGCTCACATACAAGTAACTTGGAAGTCAATTTTTAACACTTGTTAATCGCTACTTATAAAATACATTTTTGGGAAAACCATCATGAAGGATTTCTAAAAATTAATCACGTTTATTTATTTAATATTGCTTATACTTATAACATGCTAATGCTAATTTATGTGGAGTTTTCTATGCATCATGTAGGGTAAACAGAACAAATTGATGACTTTATTGTTTTATAGAAATTCTTTCATTTCAAATATAGTTTTTATAAGTTAGACATTTTTCATAATTTTGTTACTGTACATTGTCAGGTTGACAGCTTGACCAGTCACTGGAGGGTGCCCAGTCACCTGATGAGGGGAAGCAGGGGATGAAAGAATAATATACAAAGAACAAGGAATAAAGAGTAAAGAATGAATGAAAGTTTAGTAGTTCTGGGAGCTGGGAATTGATCTTTAGCTCTCTCCTGGCTAAAGACCACCTGATCTTAGCTCTTTCATGGCTAAGACCACAAGCTCTGGATTAGTCAGCATTTATGATTATACAGCATAGCAAGGGGGCATAAAGGCGGATGTAAGGAATAGCAGAACTGATGCACTAAGGAGCCAGGCTTGGTAAAAGGGGAGTAACTATATTTCCAAAGCCCAGGTCTCAGTTAACAAGCCACCTGTGCTATCTTGCAGGTCACAGCTAACGAGCCACCTGCATTATCTTAGCTAACGTTTGCTCTTAGAGAATGGCAGCACAGAGTCATAATTCCTCAGCTGTAGTGTTTCCTTGCTATAGAGACATCACAACCTGGTTGATCATTGAGACCTCAGTTGTGGCCATTGGCATAGAAAAGTCTATCTCCAAACACCAGCTGAAAAGTCAATTAGCAGTTCACACTTAGGCCTTGGAGTGACTCATAATGTTAACCAATAGCCGAATTATAAGCCAAATCAATAATATCTAAAGCCTGCTCAGTACAGATTCAAGCTGGTCTCCTGTAATAGATAAAATTTTTTGGCATGTAAAAGGTAGTTAAGAAATATAAGTGATGCACTTTTTGAAAAAGATAGTTGTAGCCTGAAAAATTTGAAGTCCAAAAAGTAGATGTACTGGCTTTATTTTCAAAACACAAAAAATATCACATCCTCATAAAAACCACAATGAAATGGAAGGAGCAGGATACAGTTCTAATTTTGCTATTTTCTAGCTCAGTAGTATGAAATAAGTAGTTAAATTCTGTAGAATTTTTATTCTCATCCATACATTTATTGGATTAGTCCGTATTTATAGGCTTAGTCTGTATTATTTTAAAGTAACTTTTATGAAAGTGTTTTTCATGAACTGCTAATCTATAATAAAAAAATGGAAAAAAATTCTTGAAGGATTATGTTAACTCTGTTCAGGCTGGATTACCAGAGACTGGTTTCTTCCCTTCTTTCCTCCCTAGAAACTTGGCGAGCGATGGACAGCTGTGTGCCGTTGGACTGAGGAACGCTGGAACCGATTGCAAGAAATCAATATATTGTGGCAGGAATTATTGGAACAACAGGTGTGAACTGTTATGCCTCAGGAACAAAACAGATGGTGGAAAGTGACTTGTTTTATTATGGCATTAGAATAAAGTTGTCCTGTTTTCTTTGAAAGGGAGGTGTGCAAATAGTACTTTATTGTTTTCAAACTGAGATTTCTAAGCCAGGTGTGGCAGTGCACACTTGGAGCCCCAGCTACTTGAGAGACTAAGACAGGCAGGACTGCTTGAGCCCATGAATAGGGGACCAGCCTGGGCATTATAGTCAGACCCTTTGGCAACAAAACAATAATAAAAATCATATTTTTATGCATTTTATAACTGATCCTGCAGCTTAATCATAAATAGCATGTTTATGGCTTCTTGGTAATAATAGTGACTTTATCTGTGCTCATTACTTGTAATATTAGTGCTTAGATACGCTTCTTTTTTTTTTTTCTTTTTGGTTCCGGGGATCGAACTCAGGACCTTGCTCTTGCATGGCAGGCGCCAGAACCACTGAGCTAAATCCCCAGCCTTAGATACGCTTCTTAGTGCCATCGAATGTTAAAAATATTACTGGACTTGTGCTGGGCAATGTGTTTGAACTTACGTCAACATGGTTCGGAGCATATGGCTTGTGCTGAGTAATTGAATCTGCAAACACTTCGTGAACTTTAAATCACAAGAAATTTTTGTGACTTTTAACCAGGATAAGTACTGAAATTAATGAGAAAATGTTTTTAGCAACGCCTTTAATTAAATAGCATACTTTTTATACTAGACATCACTACAGCAAATCAAACTATTATGCAGAGCTCTCTCCCTACTCTTTCAGTCATAGGGGTGGCCCTTTGCCTCCAGAATAGTGGTCATCAATCCAGAGCACAAAAAAGCAGAACTTTTCTCCTCAAATCCCAGCTGTGGTCTAGAAAATAAGCAAATGCTCGGAATTCCTACATCTCACAGTGAATCCATTTTGATTCTTTTAAATGCATTTCATTTCCATCCAAAAAAGCAACAATGTTCTCTTCAGGGAGAGGGAAGCAAAGAGGGAATGAGGGAAGGACATTTTGTAGTTTAGTAACTATGGTGGCAGATAGTACATCTTGGAAAGTAGGTAGCAAAATTTGTCCAACTGTAAATTATTAATCACTACCCCTCCCCAATCTTTGGTCAGCATGTTCTTATTAAGAGTCATGTAATGCACCTGATTCTGCTCTCTGAAATATTTATATTGCACTTTACAGATATTTATGTTTATTTGGAACCTTGTTTTTAGGTCAAAAGATACAAAGAATATGTAAATTTTTACTTTGATAGTGACAGAGACATTGATTGCCAGAAAAATCTGTACTGTTACTTTTCTATTGAGTAAAATACTTTAAAATTTGGAAATAATTTTAATTTTATGACTTGAAGTTTTAAATTGATCTGTGACTCACTTTTTACTGGAGATAGGACCTTTTAACTGTATCTTTGTGTGTGTGTGTGTGTGTGTGTGTGTGTGGTTTCTGTACCTTCTGTCTTGTGCCATGCTTATTTATGTGCATACCTTCTCAGCCTTACTAGTTTGAGAAATTATCTAGGGCCTTCTCAGGCTATTTGTCTTTTATTTTCGTAAACTTTGTCTCTCCTCTCCTCCTTTCCCCTTCCTTTTCCTTCTCTTCCCTTCTCTCCTTTTCTTTCTTCTTTTGATAGAGGTGAGGAATAGTTGCCCAATGAATTGATTAAGAAAGCAGTTAAGAAATCATTGAGCCCACTGCAAATACAGGACCCCCTCCCCCAGCTATATAAAAGAGTTTCAGCTGCAGCTCCTGTGTTTTGGGAGAATTATCCAAGTGCAGCCGCAGTTGTTTTTCATTCCTCAAGGTGACAGAAAGTAGGAGGGGTCAGTCTTGCTCTTTTTAAAAATAATTTTATTGATACACTTTTGATATACATAATGATCACATTCATCATAGGGAATTTGTACCCATGCAGAATATATCTTGATTTTTCCTTTTTCCCCCATTCCCTTCCCCTCTCTTCAACCTTTCTTTCTGTCCTCATTTACAAAATCTTTGTTTCCGTTTTCTTTCTTCTATCTTCTTTTTTTCCCTTTTCCCTTCCTTCCCTACCCGCTCCTGCCTTGTCTGTTCCCCTTCCCATTTGAACATTTTCTTCCTACTTCCCAATATCTATCATCTATTTTGGGGTTTATTGCACTTTTGGTTTCTCACACAAGAGAATGCCATATTTAAACATGTATGTCTGGTTTATTTTACTGAAGAGTATGGTCTCGAGGTGCATCCATTTACCTAGATATGTCTCAAGTTTCTCCTTCTTTATGGCAGAGTAGTACTCCACTGTATATAAAAACCACATTTTCTTTATCCATTCATTCAATGATGGGGAATCTGGGCTGTTTCCAAGATTTAGCTATTACAAATTGTGCTGCTGTAAACATGGTTGTGCATATGTCACTGGGGTATGATGGTTTTAATTCTTTTGAGGAGACACCAAGAAGAGGGATAGGTGGGTTAAATGGAACCTCTAGTTTCAGTTGTTTGAGGAATCTCTATATTAATTTCTATATTGGTTGCACCAGTATACATGCCCACCAACAATGGAGAAGGATTCTTTTTTCCCCACAGCCCCATCAGCTTTTGTTATTGGTTGATTTCTTGGTGAGAGCCCTTCTTCCTAGAGTGAGGTGGAATCTCAGCATTGTTTTAATTTGCATCTCTCGAGTGACCAGTGATGTTGAAAATTTTTCGTATATTTATTTGCCATTTGTACTTCTTCATCAGAATTGATTTCAGATGCCCGCTTTTGGATTAGATCTTTAAATTTGAGAGAGTCTGATTTTTTTGAGTTCTTTATAGATTCTAGATATTAGTCCTTTGTCTGAGGAATAATGGTAAAAATGTTTTCCCACTCTGTGGGTTGACGCTTCACTCAGTAGTTTCTTTTACTCTGCAAAACCTTTTTAATATGATAAGATCCCACTTACTGATTCTTTGTATTATTTCCTGTGTAATTGGGGTTTTGTTCATAAAATCTTTGCCTACACGTATGTCTTCAAAAGTTTTACCTATTTTATCCTTCAGCAGATTAAGTGTGTCTGTTTTAATATTTAGATCTTTGATCCATTTTAGATTAGTGCGTGGTGAGAGATATGGGTCTAGGTTTAATCTTTTCCTTGTGGAAAGCCAGTTTTCCCAGCACCATTTATTAAAGAGGCAATCTTTCTTCCAGTGAAAATGTTTGGCCCCTTTGTCAAAGATAAGGTGGCTGAGTGTTGGAGTTGTTTCTGCATCTTGTAGTCGGATCCATTGATTCTTGGGTCTGTTTTTTTGCCAGTACCATGTTGTCTTTATTACGGTAGCTTTGCAGTATAATTTCAGGTCAGGCATTATAATATCTTGTGCCTTGTCTTTGTTGCCCAGAATTCCTTTTGTTATTTTGTGTCTTTTCTGGTTTCAAATGAATTTTAGGATTGTTTTCTCTAGTTCTGTGAGATATGCTATTGATATCAATCGGGATTGCATTAAATCTGTACAGCAATTTTGCAAGTATAGCCATTTTCACTATATTGGTTCTGCCTATCCAAGAACAAGGGATATCTTTCCATTTTCTGATATCCTCTTCGATCTCCTTTTACAAAGTACTGTAGTTTTCCATGTAAAGGTCTTTTACTTCCTTCATTAGATTGATTCTAAGTATTTCATTTTTCTTAATGCTGTTGTGAATGTGTTGTTTCTCTAATTTCTCTCTCAGTGAGTTTGTTTTTTGCGTATAGGAACAGTATTTATTTTTGAGTGTTGACTTTGTATCCTGCTGTGCTACTCAATTTGGTTTTAAATCTAGGAGTCTTTTGGTGGAGTTTTTGGGGTCTTCTCTGTAGAGTATCATGCCATTTCCAAATGATGATAATTTCACTTCTTCCTTTCCTATCCTTATTCATTTTTATTTCTTTCTCTTATCTAATAGATCTGACTAATGTTTCCAGAACTGTATTGAATAAGACTAGTGATAGTGGGCATACTTGTCTTGTTGCTAATTTTAGAGTGAAAGCTTTCAGTTTTTGATCATTTAGTATGATTTTGGCTGTTGGTTTGTCATAGATGGCTTTGGTCAGATTGAGATAAAGACTATGTATTCCAATTTTCTGTAGGCTTTTCTTTTTTAATCATGAATGTGTATTGAACTTTATCAGATGCTTTTCCTGCGTCTATTGAGATGATCACATGATTTTTGTCCTTGGTTATGTTAATATGGTAAATTACATTTATTGATTAGCATGTGTTCAACCATCCCTGCATCCTTGCGATGAATCCTACTTGGTTATGATGTATAATCTTGATGATTTGCTGCATTCTATTTGCCAGTATCTTATTGAGGATTTTTGTGTCTATGTTTATTAGGGAGATTGGACTGTAGTTCTCTTTTTTGGTCGGATCCTTCTCTGATTTTGGTATCAGAGTAATACTTGCTTCCAGGAATGAATTTGGGAGTATTGCTTCCCTTTCAGTTTCATTCGAGTTTGAGGAGTAGTGGCATTAGATTTTCTCTACATTTCTTGTAGAATTCAGAAGTGAATCCATCAGGACCTGGGCTTTTCTTTTTTGGTAGTTTTTTAGTTACCAGTCTTACTCTTTCAAAACGTTAGTAATTATTTTCTATTTAAAGAACTGCATTTTTGACCAGTGAGTTTAAATACTTTCAGATTGGCTTTGGACCAGCCTCAGACTTCCTCCTTTAATCATAATTGCTGGTGGTCCTTGAACACCAGTATGGTTTTTCTGCATGATGTTGTGATTCTTGGATTGAGGATGAGAGTGGTTGGTTCAGCCCAGCCACTAACTGGCCACCTGATCGCACATGTGTAACTTCACCACTGCCTCTTGCTTCTCTGAAACGAGGGGCGGGATACACATTCTCTGAGCTTTTTACTGTCTCTAGTGTTATGATTGTTTTGGAGACTTGGAAAGTTAAATTTAGCGTTTTCTATCCTTCTTCTGGAGAATTAGATTTAGTTGCTGTATTCATCCATTTTTTGAGCAGGGAGGGCTCACACTTATTCTTGTATAGCATTCTCCTCTTGGGAACCAAGTGAGGGTCTACAAGAACTGTATTAGTTCCTTCTGAGGGCAGCAGTGACCTCAGAGGCCTACCCCTAGCCTCCACCTCCTGAAGTTCCCACTTCCCTTCACCTCAGCACATAGGAAATGAACTTCCGATACACTCAAACCATCCTCGAACCCAAGCAGGTACCCAGGTGCAGGACTAATGTCAGGATGATCTGAAAAGGAGAATATTTAAAGAAAGAGATATTTTCTGAGTCATTTCTACCACCGAATTGAGTGTTTGAAGTCCTTCTTATCCCCAGGTAAAGATGAAGCAGCTAATAAGAGTGAGAGATTTAGGATCTTGATTACATTGAATCACTAAATGGTTTCCCTGACTTATTTCTAACTTTTGTTATTATTTGTAGTGCTTGCTGAAAGCTTGGCTCACTGAAAAAGAAGAGGCTTTGAATAAAGTCCAGACAAGCAATTTTAAAGACCAGAAGGAACTAAGTGTCAGCGTTCGACGTCTGGCCGTAAGTGATATTAATCATCATCATCTGTGATGTAAGCCTGTGATGTCCTAGTGTTGTGTACTGATACTGACTAGCATTCAGTGAACGCAGGTTATGGCTCATCCTCCAACACTGGACCATTGCCATGCATTGATCTGAAACTGTTATTGTTCATATGTTTTAGCATAGTGAATTATAAAATATACATGTGCACATTTCCTGAGTGGGGAACAGAAAGGTAAAAGTCTGTTAAGAGAAAGTCATCTAATGAATATCTGAACACTAGATTTTGAAGGAAGACATGGAAATGAAGCGTCAAACTTTGGATCAGCTGAGCGAAATTGGCCAAGATGTGGGCCAATTACTTGACAACCCCAGGGTGTCCAAGAAGATGCACGGTGACTCGGAGGAGCTGACTCAGAGATGGGATTCTTTGGTGCAGAGGCTAGAAGACTCCTCCAACCAGGTACCTCTTGTTGTGGACAGTTTATTGTACAGTGAAGTAAAATTTGAATGTTGAGGTTGGGTTTTGTGAAATAAAGACTAGAAAGTAAACTACATGTTGACTTCTTATACTTGATGAATACTTGATATGGATTGATAGGGAAATTTTCATATTTCCAAAGTAAATTTTAATAGGTACAAAAAAACCCCTAATCATAGTCATAGTTTAATCTGTAGAAATTGATAATACCTAGCTGAGAAATATGAATCTCAAAACATCTTAGTGAATTGAAATAAAACTTTGGTTTGTACATGAATGTTTATAGCAGCATTATTCATAACAGTCAAAAAGTGAAGAGCCCAAATAGCTATCAAAAGACGAATGGCTGTGTAAAGTGTGGTGAATCCATACACTGTACACCATATGTTCCTTTTTTTATACGTGGTTTTTAAAATTAATGTATGTTTGCGATAAACAATAAATACATTCCTTGCAGGGAATTGGTCCATATATACATATGGTAAGAATGAAGAATTGGCCTATATGTCAACCTGCATGAGCCATGGAAACATTATGCTAAGTACTGGAAGTCATGATGTCATTTTTACAAGCTGTCCAGAATGGGCAAATCCTTGTTTGGAAAGTGAAGTTGTAGTTGCCAGGGTTTGTGGGAGCAGGGAGTGGGAAGTGTCTGCTATGGGTATGCGGTTTGTCTTTGGGAGGATAAACCATCCTGGAGTGAGGCCACGGGGACGCCTGCACAATGTCATGAATGTACTGATAGCCGATGCGTGGTGCATTTGCAAAGGAAGAGGAGTGTGATGCGTGGATTGAATCTCAATAAAGCCCTTTCTGCAAAATTAAAAGTGTACGGTTTTTATTTCAGGTGACTCAGGCTGTGGCGAAGCTAGGGATGTCCCAGATACCTCAGAAGGATCTTTTGGAGACTGTTCGTGTAAGAGAACAAGTAACCACCAAAAAGTCGAAGCAGGAGCTGCCTCCCCCTCCTCCCCCCAAGAAGAGACAGATCCACGTGGACACTGAATCCAAAAAAAAGTGAGAACACGGGAATTTCCAAACGCCAAACTGCACACAGTGTTTTTGATAGTTGGCACTTACTTTGTACTAATTGCTAATCAAATGCAAATTTAGACATCATTATTATCATGGAAACTCAGCTACTGCACCACTCACTGCCTTTGCCTCCTTGGAACATTCTGCTTCACCCTAGGAAAGCATCAGATTGTCCTGGATGATTTTATTAATCCTGTGCTCAATTTCTAGGACTGTGTGACTGAACCCTTCTTTCTTCTTTTTCTGTGATTTACCTTGAAAGGATACGATTGTCTGTAACACCTCATTTATTCTTTCTTCACAATTTACAACTCGGACAATTTTGCTTTAAGTAGCTTCCTTATTCTTCATGAGTTTCCTTCTTCCTCTCATTCAAAACCACAATTCAGTTGAGTGAGGTGGCACAGGGCTATAACTGCAGTTGTTTGGGAGGCTGAGGGAGGAGGATTGCAAGTCTGAGGCCAGGCTAGGTAGTTTAGTGAAACTTTCTTCAAATAAGATAGAATGCAAGGGCTGGGGATGCAGCTCAGTGGCAGAGAGCTTGCCTAACATGCATGAGGCCTTGGGTTTAAATCCCAGCACTAGAAAAAAATAAAGAAAAAGATTTCTGGTAAATAATAATTTCTTTTTAGTCTTTTTTCCTCCCTCTCCCCCCTTCATTCTTTTATCATGTTTTCTCATTTCCTTTGTTAATTCCTTTGGCAGACTTGTTAACAGGTTCTTTACGTTTGACTTAAAAGAGGCATCTTTAGTTAAACTTTTTTTTTTTTTTTTTGCGGTACTGGGGATCAAACTCAGGACCCAGTGCCACTGAGCCACATCCCCAGCCTGGGGCACCTTTAGTTAAACTATCTTTTTGCCTTATTGATTCAAAGGAAAACTCAGGATCTTTGTAAGGAGATTAGTCAGAGCTGACATATACTGAGCTTTTGCTGATGTCAGAGTCCCATTAAACGACACAGTGTCTCAGATACTGTACCTTCCGTGTGCTGTAGAGCGAATCCTCACAACAGCCCGTGAGACTGACAGTTATTTTGCCCCTTTACAGTAGAATATCAGGCCTTGGGAAAACAGGAAGGTATTTGGGGCCCGAATAAAAATGGTAGGCTTTTCCTAATTTAGCCTTTGTTAGACAAAGCCAAATTGTGCTTTTACCTGGTGATTTATTTTCCTTTTATGATGAACCTGTTTCTGCTTCTGGAGGCACCAGTGAGCCATTGAGTTGCAGGCTGGAGAATCTGAACTTTGGGAGCTGAGGCAACCCAGGAGGAAGAGGCTTCTGAGTTAATATTGGCATAATCGTACCTCTCCTGAGTGCCTGTTGGCTGCCAGGTGTGTCTGACAGTGTATCCATCCTGCTAGCACTTTGTGCATTTGGAAGGATGGAAGGTTGGGAGAGACCAGAGTGCCTCACTTTGAATGCTTAATATAAAACGAGGAAGCTTTCTGCTGTAAGAAATGCAGTCCTTTGCTCAGAGTGACTTTCATGGTGAAGTCATTCGTGTTTCACATTACAGGAAGTCCGGAGGCCAGGCAATTTTAATGGGAGATGCACTTCAGCGACCCTCCACCTTAGTGCCTGCCCTTTCTGTATGGTGGCCTTGTCCTCTCAGCAGACCACTCCCCTGGGTCCCCTGGCTGGATGCTGTCCCTTGTTTATGCCTTGGGTGTGTGAGAGGTAGAGAGGATCCATTTTCTTTTCCATGTCTCTAGTTTGTGTTCTGAGACCCTCATATAGTAAGGGAGAATGGGGGGCTCAGGGTTGTGAGCAACCAGCAGTGAGGGCCACAGTCATCAGCTCCAAGGTTGGATTGATGTGGCAGTTCTTCAGTTAATCCCTGGACTAACAGAGCCTGCAGTAGTACGTCCAGGACAGGGCAGGAGAAGGTGGCCAAGTCTCATTATTAGAAAGATTCTTCTTCTGCCCCCGCTAAGTCCTCTTGTGTGTTAATACTTTTTGGTGCAGTGTAGTCACCCAGTCCCTCTTCTACGTGGCACCTCTTTGATACGTGAAGGCTGCTGTTCTAGTCCAGTTTCTACTGTGCTGAAGTCCAGACTATAGTTATTCCGAGTAGGATGTGGCTTCCAGACTCTCATAACTTCATTCTGCTGCAGAAATCACCATTAACTTGTCTTGGAATGGACCAGCCCAGGCAGCGGAGAGCTGCGAATAACTGCTTCAGCACAATGCCGAGCTCACACTACCTACCATTAACAATGGCTACTTGCTTTCTCTTGACTCTCGATTCTGCTGGTTGCTTTTTGTTGTTGTTTTATCAGCTCAGGGCATAATGGGACATTCATCTTCCATAGTGTGGACATCTGTGATTGTGACCTGAAGTCATTGTATCACTTTTGCTCCTTTAGAGGGCAGAGATTGATTGAGGCTCCAGGGTCACTTCAGACGGCTGGTCTCCCTATGGCCTTCCTTTCCCTGAAAGATTAAACAGAAATCTGCTGATAGAATGCCAGGGGGAGGGGCACTGTTTGTGACACCTTGACTCCTGGTTATTTGCCCAGAGCAGCACAGAATCCCTTACGTGTGCTAAATTCAAACTCTTGAGACCTAGGGTTTTCTGAAATTTAAGCATTTATTGAGCTGTTAAAGATCCCAGTCAGAAAAGGATCAGGTCATGGGATAAGTCCCCAAATTTCCGGCAATGAGGCTAGATAGGGTTGGAAATATGTCTCCTGGGCCTAAGAACCATGAACATTTGTGGAAGGAAAGCATAAATTGCTAGCATTGAACATCACTGGTTGTAGACAGGAGGGCAGGGCTGTTCGAGGCCATAAAAGGTTTTGGGGGGACCCTCCATAAGGAGAATGACGGAATGCTTCTGGATTGATTGGGGTCCGTGGTCTGGAAAGTTTGATGTCAGCCTCAGGTGCCCGAGGTGATGGTCTGGTCACCATGCTAAGGCAGGATTTCAGCAAACAGCTAGGAAGGGGGCACAGTCTTTTGTTAGTCTCGGCCGGGAGCTGTTCACTGATGAACTTCCCGGATCCACCTTTCAGCCTTTTAGATTAAATTTAGGACATCTCAGAGTTTTTGTTTTATGACATATTAGCAGGAAAATTTACCTGGAGGAGAGGACAATTAGTCAGAATTCACTAGAAATACGTGTAGCGAAGTTTCCAGAAAGAATTGAGAATACAACCTGTGTTGCCACTTTAAATTCTGAGATGCTTTGGGCAGGGAGCTCTGGCTGCCTTGGTTTGAACCAGGGCTCTGCCATGTATTCGTGTGGACAATTACTGTTAAAGCCTCCCTGAGCTCAATTTCTTCAGCTCCAAAGGGGATAATAACAGTACATACTTCAGAAGGTGGTTGTGAGTACACAGGAAACACTCAGCCAAGCGCCTGGCCTCTGGTGGGCAGTCCTGGTTCCTTCTCTTCCAGTTTCGCCTCAACACTGTGGAACCTTTCCCCTCTTTCCGCCTCCCCTCTGTCACTCTCTTGGTACTGGGCCTTTTTAGGATGACAGTCTTTTCTTCACAGTCACCTTCCTTTGGTTCTATCTTCTCAGTGAATACAAAAGTTTGAATAGAATCCTGTCAGTTTAAGCAAAAAGCCCTTGGTACTCCGAATTGCTCTTTGGTTAAGTGCAAATTCCTTGATTTGTATGACAGAACCATCCAGTATCTCTGGAGCTTGTGATTCTTGGCCACATTGTCAGTTATTCTTCCCTTCAAGTACTGGCTATTCCTGACACATCTCATTATTTGCAGTTTGCAAAATATAATCTTTCCATTCTTTGTTTTCCCTTTGCAAGGAAAACTCCTAAACAGAGCCAGGTTCTACTCCAGGAAGCCATCCCTTCCCTTCCCTGGTTGGATTAGGAGCCATTCCTGTGAATTCCAGAAATTAGCACCTAGCAAACTCTGTTGTTATCACCTGTAACTTTCCATTGCTTCCCAGAACTGGAAGCTCCATGAGGGCTGAGATTGGTGTGTGAGTCACCTGTCATCACCAGTCCTACCCATTCTGCCTTTGACAGTGCCTGGCCTTTGCTAAGGCTCTGTAATTGCATATTGAACAGAAGAAGGCATTACATTCAGGAATGGTTCCACTTGCTCTTTTCTGTTATCTAACCAAATCCAGTTTATGTTATCTACAAGAGCTTATAAAAATTCAAGGAAAATTTTTATGTAATCATTTAGTTAATGTACTAGCCCTATAATCTTATTCTTTTTGTGCTTTTAACTGTAACTGTATGATCTAAGTTTGTGTGGCTCCTGTGTTTCTGCTTGGCCCTTGGAGTGCTGCTTCAAAACACATACCGCATGCACATCTGGGTTGTTCTTTCTTGGGCCAAATAAAACAACAAGAGAAAATAAATGGTAGATAGTAACCTGTGACTCTTAAATCAGGTTTGATGCTGTAAGTGCCGAGCTGCTGAACTGGGTTTTGAAATCCAAGACTGCCATTCAGGCCACAGAGATAAAAGAGTATGAGAAGATGCAAGAGACTTCAGAAATGAAAAAGAAGTTGAAGGTAAAACATGAAACAGAAATATTCTAGGGAATGAAATATTTCATCAGGCTGGATTTGCTGTTGGTGTAAGGGTGTGGGGGAGCCAGGAACTTCCTGGGAATAAATGTGGCCATCAGCTGCGTTTTAGAGCATGGTAGCAAAACCCCAATCCCTCCCTCCTGTCTCCCATCAGTCCCTGCATGGAAGAGAATCGCTTTTCCTTTTTCCTCCCTAACCAAGGAGGTATTCAGCAGGCAACACCTCCTAAGCTGATCCAGTTATCTTAACTGTTTTTTCACTGTGTGTACCTCCTGCCGACTAATATCTCATAACTTGGGACTTTCTGTTATTCTTAAGATGTTTTACCCTTTGAATACAACAAATTATTTCCCATCTCAAAATTTCTTCAGTATATTCTCTTTAAAGAAGAAACAGTTTTTAAAAATAAATGCAGTCAGTCCTTTTGGATCTGTGGGCTATCTGTGCATTCAACCAACTGTGGATCAGAAATATTGGGAAAAACTTTCCAGGAAGTTTCATAAAGCACATTGAATCTTCCCTGCATGGAACCCTATGCAGAGCCCATGAGAATGAGGTGTTGTGTGTAGGCGTGACCTGCCATAGCCTCCGCCAGCCCCAGGCCCCAGGCTCTCCCCAGCACTTGCTGTTAACACATTGTTCACTTTGCGTCTTCTTCCTGGAGTTAGATGTAGGGTGGTTGCTTCTTTACTAGCCATTTTTCCTTGTCATTTTTCCTTAAAATACATGCAGTATGATGATTATTCTAGCATTTATACTGTACTAGGTATTATATGTAATCTAAAGTGAGTTTTTGTTGTTGATTTTTAGGTAAGTCTCACTATGTAGTCCAGGCTGGTCTTGAACTTACTGTATAGCTCTGGTTGGCTTTCAACTTGTGATTCTCTTGCCTCAGCCTCCTGAGTGCTAGAATTTTAAGTGTGTGCTGCCATGTCTGGCTAGAGATGTGTAAAAGCATATAGGATGTGTGTAGGCTAAATGCACACAGTACACCATTTATGTAAAGGACTTGAGCACCCTTGGAGTTTGGTATCCACAAGGGGCCAGAGCCAATCCCCCAGTTATTGAGGAACAACCCTATTAAAATGAAGAGCCACTCTTTATTCTCAGAGAACAAAGTGCTGTAGCATGTGTCCTAAGCGTACTGTCATTACTTAAAAATCTGAAAGCAGTATGAATGTGTTGGAAGTTTGCATTAGGCTCTTAGACTTTACAAGAACACCAACAAATAATACTAAAGCTCAGAATAGTTCTCTCTCATTTTCTTGCTGGTTAGTTTTCCCTCAGTGATCTCTGCCATAGCACATTCAGTTCTTTTGACTTAAGTCACTATTTTTATGATTCGGAATATTCATGGTATGTTTGTGGGTAGCTATCATGAATCTAAAGCACTAATTTTAATTTTCTCCTCTTAGAAGGAACTCATAATGAACTCTTTTTTTGTAAGAGAAATGAAAGTTTTGTAGCTGCTATCATCATTGTTTATTTGAAGTTACCTTCTCAGACTTCTTCATCCCAGGAGTGCTGATTGGTAGCCTGGACTCGCATGTCTTTCTTATAGAACATTCTTATACTGGGACTTTATTTCAGGAATTTGAAAAAGAACAAACAGAAAGAAGCCCCCAGGTGGATGAATTAAACCAAACCGGACAAATCCTTTTGGAGCAAATGGGAAAAGGTGAGACCTTTAATATTTTTTTTTCAGATCCCTTTACATGGTGACATTGAGTGGTATTTGTGGTTAGACATAGTCAATAATTATTGTAACTTTCTAACCCTCTCTTTCTGTAAAACTGGTTTTAAAAGCTATCTTAAGCAACAGAGTCTTTTAAAAATAAAATCTTTGCCAGGGATTTACCTCGGTGGTTTCGCCGCCTACTGCGCAAGCGCAAGGACTCGAGTTCAATCCCTGGTACCAAAAATAAATAAATAAATAAATAAAATCTTATGCTGGAGCTATATTAAAATCAGGTTGGGGCAGGAATTTAGCTCAGTGATTCTGCCGCCTACCTCGAAAGCACAAGGTCTTGAGTTTGATCCTTGGTACCAAACCAAAAAACAAAAAAACAAAAAATAGGTAAAAGTGCAGTATTTTCTACTTCTAAGGGGGTTAGGCAATCAGAACCCTGAAATCTCAGCAGAACATTTAAAATCCTGTGGTGCAGAAGATTTTAAACACATCTTTAGGGTTATATATTGGTATTTTTTTTCCCCACCGGGAGTAGGTAACAAAAGAAAACCATACCTTGGTAACATTTAGGAAATGAAATTATGTTAAAGTAGATTCATTAATACTATTTGATATTTGGTCACTTTCAGTGGATTATTTTATTCTAGGGATTTTAAAATAGTGAAATCTAATAAGATGTTACTTGCATTTAACATCTCTATTTGTATGCAAGAAATTTTTTTTGGTCGTGACTCAGAGGAGTTTCAAAATTAATATTTTTAGTTCTTTCTTTGGTCTGACTTTTTTTAGGGAAGGGGATAGGATACCGAGGCCTGAACCCAGGACCTTTGCATAGAGCTACCTCACAAGCACACCCCCCCCCACCTTTATTTTTTATTTTGGGGCAGAGTCTTGCTAAGTTGCCTAGGTGGGCCTTAACTGGTGATCCTCCTGTCTCAGCCTCCCAGAATGGTGGGATTACAGACCTGTGCCATGAAGCCTGGCTCTTTTTGGCAGCTTTGAAAGACCTTTGTTGTATACTGTATTCCTTATTCTAAGAGTGGTAAATACTTCGGGATGGGGTGTCTTCTGCTACTCTCCTTGACCACTGCTTGAGGTAACCAGGGCAGAATTCTGAATACTAGTTTGAAAAAAATCTCCAAAACAATAATTTTCAACCTTTAGTTTGTGACTTTTAATGGAAATTGCAACTATATACAAATCAAATAGAATGATGTAATGAACCTCCTTGTACCAGCTATCCGCTTTGCTAATTAGTGGAATTCTGGAATTCTTAATTAATTTATTATCACTTTACTCCTCAGCTAGTAAAATTTCCTTATATTAACATATAGAAAACCTAATTGTGCTGTTTAATAAACAGATAAACCTGTGTAACTCACACCGACAAATCACTATGTAAAACATTTCCATCTCTTTGGAAAATTCTCTTAGGCCCCTCTGGATTGGTCAGCAACACCCCCTCCCCTTAGGAAACCACTATTCCTACTGTTTTTAACCTTAGATTATTTTTGTCTTCAGCCTTTCAGAAAGTTTCTTTTATATATATCTGCGAGCTTTACACACACAGACATAAAATGAGTAGCATATGCCCACATGTGTTCATTATATGTTCATTTATCTTGAAATTATGCACATGTATTATTGTCACTCCGTATATTATTAGTAAAGGTTAATTTTTTTCTCTAAGGTTAATTTCCTGCTTTTAAAATCTACCCTGTTAGGTTGTTTTAGGTATCCTGGGTGTGGGCACCCTGTCTGGGTGGGCTCTTTACTTGAAGAGACACAAGCAGACCACAATTCCCCTAAGATGTTGCCTCTTTCAATCACTATAATAAGTTGGGTATTGAATTTATGTTCAGTTCAGTCATAGATTCTTTTGTCTCAGGATTGCACCTGGGACTCGGTATCTGGTATGAATATGGGGTAAATTTCTGAGTGTGAGCACTGTATTTGCTCCAAATCTGTGTCAACTTTTATTTGACAGGCAGAAGTAGTGTGCCAGAAGACTTTACTTTGGTGAAAAGTTGGCCAGAGGTGATATTTTGTAGTGAGAACAGCAGGGAATTGAAGAATGGATGAACTTAGGTCATTCTAACTTAGTCTAGTTTCATGCTGTTGGACAAGTCAAGAAACGCTTTTCTGTCCTTATTTCTGTGTCAAGAAATTGAGAGAGTTTACTAGCTAACTTAGCTTTCACTCAGTAAAACCTTACTGTGAATTGACAGTCCTAAAAAGATATACTCTGGAAAGTGGATTCAGGTGAAAGTGCTTTTTGCAAGGGTCAAGTGCAACATATAAAACGTATGTTGTTTTACAAAGCAGTGATTTTTGTGCCCTAATGTGTGCTTGTCCATTTTCATAGGAAACATTTTGTATGTTGCATTACCGTGTTATTTTCCCTTAGTTTTAGTAGAAGTAAAAATGCATTCACTAGAAGATGATGATACTATTGATTTTTAAAAATTAAAAAAAATTTTTTTTCTTTAAATTTATTGGTACATTTTAGGCATATAATGCAGTTACATTCATATACATGCAGTATGATGATTATTCTAGCATTTAT